CTGGGGAATTCTGGGAGCTGAAGTCCACACGTCTTAAACTTGCTGAGGTTGAGAAAACACTGGTATAGAAAATTGGCTTCTAGTTCAAGCCTGGTGGAAGGAAATAACATGTCTTTACTTGTGCAATTTATGCTTGGGCATCTTTCCCATATAACCTCACTTCTCCTCCCCCCCCCGGTCAAAAAATCCAATAGGTAACCATTCGAGACAATGGGCTTTACCCCAGGCAGCAGCTTAGTGGGAAGAACCTTCTGAAAAGCTCAGCTACATTAAAGGTAAGGTGGCAGGCTTGATCGCCTGCTCTGACGCCCCATGTATCCCTATCGTACACATTAGTCTTGGTTTTAGTTGGCTGACCTTCTGGCACATGAGCCCTCTAAATCTCCAGCCATTTACTTTTCACCTCTGGCCAGTATGTTCCTGTTGTAACCTTACAAGTGGCTGATGAAACTAGTTTTTCTTCTTTCTTCCCTGAGATCTGTTCACCTTTTATCTACTTTTCTCAGGTTGCCCATTCGGAAATGGCCTGCTATCACTATACAAGCCCGGGACCACAGATGAGGGTAATGACAATTTTCATTTCTTTCAATACTCTTTTCCTTCCAGCAGCCAAACAGCATGGAGGGAATACAGAATGATTCATTTATTTTAAACTTCTGAACATTAAAGCAGTTGATAAAAACATATGTTAAGCATTGTGTAAAATACAAAATAAAATACGTCCTAAAATTGGTAGAAGATCTTCAGGATTCCCGGTATGAATTCCTTCCCATAGGGGAACTTGGCGTTTACCTATGGCCCCAATCCTGAGACGGTGTGAATATTTATCTCCTTCTGTTGGACCTTTTTCGACCTTTTTCCCCTTCCTTCCCATCACCCACTGCAGTTCCTATCTAAATTATTATTACCACTACTTAGGAACATCTGTGAAATGGAATCTGTTCTAGCACGGATAGATATGTCATGTACAGAGACGTAGCTATAACATTTTCAGAAGTCACATATAAAACTGCATAGATTTAAAGAAAATTGCACGTAAAAGAAATGTGTAGACTAGGAACAGTTATGAACAGCCAAAGTTTTGGGTTGGATCATTTAAAAAATATCAGACAGGCACTTTGTACTGACCCAGATCTGTATACTTCCTCTCCATGGTGCTGATCCATCTCCTTCTCTCCCCCCACCCCGAAAGTATTAACTGGGAATTTATAAAATTGTGGTAGGGAAAGAATGTTTAAAAAACGCTTCCCCATTTTCTCAGCCTTGTGCTGTGGCTGTGCAACTAGGAGGGCACTTTTACTTTTGCTGATGAGCAGCCATTCTTTTTGGCAGGAAATTGAATAAAAATAGGGGTGTTATACCTGTACATGAGAGAGAAGGAATTTATAAATTTTTATTTATTTATTTTATTTCTTTGTCGGCCCCCAGGGAGCTGCGACTTTGGGCATCCATATTGGATGTCCCCCAGGCAAACGACTGGCATTTGACATCACTTATACTAAGAATTACAGTATCGAGAAGAACAAACGCTACGTTGACTGCGTTGAACCGAATCCAGAAATGCCCTGCTTCTTCTTCAGTGACGGTAAGTGGTTTTGGATCCTGTCGTCATCATTGTCATCATCATTGCCATTATCTAAGCGATGGCAGCAGAGAGACCACAGAGGAGTCATTTGTTAGAATTCTGCTACAGCTTCATCCAAGTTGCTGCAAGATCCTAGCCTTTCCCTCTGGAATTGTCCCTCTTTATGTGAGAGGCTGTCAGACTGGTGCCATCCAACATATTCTGCATTATCTTCCATTTTTGAAATCCGATTTTTGGCAGTCTGCCTTGCTCCCCAGCCACCAACAGTTCCCAGTAAAACGATTGATTGATTGATTCAATTTGTACACCGCCCAATGACTCTGTAATTAAATTTCAGCATCACATTGAATAGGTGAAGTATTATTTAGACTTTCTGGGGTCTAGTGCCTTTCACTAAAATGTTCTATTTGTAGATTCTACCTGTTTTACAACTTTCTGTTGATAATTATGTTAGACTATTCAGTACTGTCACTTTTCTGCTGCAGTGTCATTTTTTTGTTCCCACAGAGGGTGGGAGCAACTAATTATAAAAAAATTGGTAATTAAAAATTTCCCTAGTTCCATGGTAGACAAACTGAATTAATATTAGAAGGCATCTTTTTTCTGAACAAAATTTCAACACAATTTGAATCAATCAATAGTATATAAGCTCTTGGCTATGGAGAAGAACTCTAATATATATTAGAGTTGCATCTCATAGAGAGGATATTATTTCCACACCATTCCTGAAGAGGAGTCTCAGCATTGTTAAGGGAATCCAGATTAGAGGCCAATGTAGTTAGGAAAGAATTTTTCTGCATTTGGCTATGTGTGTATTTCTGAGGTTGCCCTGTGCCTAATCCTGAGTAACTCAGAAGGCGTGAAACACAAAAGTGTGTGAATCCAGTTCTTCCAGAGCCAGCTCCAAGGACTGGTGTTGGGTTTCAGCCAGTCGCATGCTGGAAGACTTTCAAGGGTTAGGCCAAGAATGGAGTTACCCTTAGATTGTGTTCAAGTCTAGTCTATTCTAGTTTGGGACCTTGGAGCAAGACCGGGGGAGATCAGGCCTGCTTGCCCGTTTTCTTCACAGTGTTCCACCCATTCTTCTTGATCCAAGACATGGTGACAGGAGACTCGGGAAGGTTCCATGGCAGGTAAGGGTTGTGGGGAAGGTTCCCTGGCGCTGTAGACTTGGGAACTGGGGGTGGGCATGGGGGTCCGTGGGCATTCCCTTCTGGGTCTGGGAGATAAGACAGAGGTCCTTGTACCCAAGAGCTGGTCTGATTCACAAGTGGGTGTCCAGGGCAAAGAAAAGGATGGTCAGAGGAAACTCCTGCAGCAGCAGTGGGAGGGGGTGTGATGGGGTGGGGTGGGGTGGGGTGTAGAGAGTGGTTGCAGGTTTGATCAGCACCATGGTGAATCCCTTCCCATTTTCTT